TGGAATTCGGATTTGTGAGAGCCGGGGGAGAGGGGTCCATAAATATTTTCTTAAGCAGCGGAAATGCTGAAATAACACCAACACACATTTGCAACTTATGAAGATGCTTCCGATGTTTGTCTTTTCCAATCTCTCCTCTCTTGGATTCCCCCTTTTTTTTATGTTTCTTCTACTTTTCTTTACTTTTCCGTTTTTTTCCTATTCAGCGGAAAGACAGTTTTCCACGTAAAATGCAAATGCTGCGACAGATGTTCCGCTCGTTATTACGGATCGGATCGACGGCTATAGCTCCCTTTCCTCCTATGTATGCTATATATCCCCTAGCCATATCCCATATCCCATTCATGGCTGCTTCCATCTTCCAACTAAAAATGCAGCTGCCTGATTGGGATTTTGCCGGTTTGGTGGTTGCTTTTAGTGGCGTGGTGCTGCTACTGCTGCTGCATATTTGTGGTTGTTGCTGCTCGCTACTAGGGAGATGAGTGTTTTTTTTTTGGTGCGTTGTGGTGTTTATAAAATTAACAACATACTCCCTCGTACTTCCGCCGGCTGCTAATGTCGGCCGGGCTAATTTGTTTTCATTGTGTGCGTGTGCCCGCATCCAGGGGGGGAAAAATAAATAAATAAAATAAAGCATCACCGCATCAGCACATCAGACCATCAGCCTATGCGCCATTTGTTCTCATTTCCCGCCCTTACCTCTTGGGTTTTTTTTTTATTTTTGTTTGGTTTTTGCACCTTCTTCAGCTGCATTCATCAAGTGTTTTGTTTTGTTCCATTCTTCTTATAGGACTTGCACTTGAGGCTGAAAATAAACCCATTTTGTTGTTGTCGTTCTAGTTGGTTTTTTCTGTCTTTTGAAAAGTTCATTTACGCTGGGAGATAGTTTGGTTTTAGTCTACAGAACTATACCTAATATTAAATTAAAAAAATATATCTATTTTTATTTCCAACATAGTTTATAATAACTATAAATTCAAGATTAAATACCAAATTAAATATTTATCTATAAAATTTTCTTCAGTGATTAAAGGCTGCACAGTGGCATCACGTGAGCCAGCTTCCCAGCCCCCAAAATCAAGCGAAAACACTGCCAATAAGTCAATGCCTAAATGGCGCCGTAATGCTTTTAGAAAGAAATATCTTAGGCATTTTGAGAGCCGGCCAAAAACAAGACTGTTCTTCGCCATCCAAAAGAAAGTGAAATTTTTCTACACCAGCTTAATTAGCCTATCTTTGGCCGCAGCTCTGGCATTCCATTCCAATGCCCACCCATTTGCTTGAATTTGTATCTAGTTTTGGTTATATTGTATCTTGGCGCTTTCCATTTCGTTGCGTTCGGGGCATGAATCACTTGTTTTAGGGCCCAGCTCAGAAGAAATATCAAAAATTCAAGAAACTGTAGGGCGCGAGTTCGATAAACCCTCACACCTTCGATTGGCTTTGGAATTTATTCAAAATACAAAATAATTTACATAGATTCTTTTTTTTTTCTGTCGGCTCTTGGAACCTCTCCAGCGGATGCAATGAATGAGTTAGTAGTTTTTTTTTCTTTCGTGCTGTGTGAGGGCGTGTGAGGGTATATCTTACAGATAGCCCGGCGATATGCCTGGCATATAGGCGTAGAAGTGGCAGTGGAAGTGGAAGAATTTATGAGCGCGACAACGACATGAATTTCATTCGGTCTTTGTTGGTTTTGTTCGCCCCAGAGTGTGCCATGTCCCATTTTCCACTTTTTTTCGTTGTTGTTCTTTGATAATTTTGCCCAGAGACCTCCTCATCTCAGCCAGCTCTTTGTTTATAGAAATTTGTGGCCGCCTTCTACTTTTTCCCCCCATCATCATCTGCCTTGACTCTCTTGGCCGTCTTCATCTTTGTTTTTCTTTCCACTATTACGCCATGAAGTGGCATTTTTTTTGTGCCGCTGACCAACTTTCCTTTTCATTAACGCTTTTTTTGGGCCTTCTGGCCTTCTGACACTTCCTGAACGCATCGATTCTGGTAGCATTATGCTCCAACTTATAAACATACTTGTAGTACGGGCGTCTGGCTGGGAAAATCATTTCCAATTTCATAACAAAGATTTATGTGCCTTTAATGGCTTCAGAGAGTCTTCGTTGCACACGCTACTGTGGCACGCGCCTACGTAGACACAGCAGATGATGATGGTGGTGATGGTGGAGAAGAAGATGGCGACGACCCTTGGACCCATAAAATGCAACTTGATCTCTCAGCGGTTTATCGGTTTCGAGACTCGAGCTCTCGCTAAACCTTAAGGCGGTTAACGGTTTAAGATTTAAAGAACGTTACAGAAATTAAAATGATTTCTCTAAAATTTGGTTTAAAAATATCTTGAAAGAATCTTCAAAATCTGTCGACATTCAGCCTTCAAGAAGCATCCGACACCTTTCCGATTGCAGCACTGCGTTGCCGAAACACCCGGGCCATCTATTTTCCATATGTTTGGCAACTGACCTTTGTTCAAATGTTTTGATGCCTCGGCCGTGTTGGTTTTCCACACGAGATTATATAGTTTGGAACGTGATGGGAAAATTTATGCATGGCTCTTTGGGTGTCCAATAAAAGCCATTTAGTTTGTCGACTGGATTTCGATGGATCTGCTCACCGAAAATCGTTGCTTGGGGCCTTGACTCAGTTGCCGGAGCGTGCCAGATTTCCACTCCGGCACTCTCTATCAGCCGTCTTGGCCAAAATATATATTTTAGCCTAATACCTACTATTTTTTTAAACAAAAATATTTAACTTTGCCACTCATTAGGTTTTATGGGAACTTTCACAACTGACTGCGAAGATTACACGTGTTCATTTCATAGCCGAAACGAGATAATTTGACAAGTGCCTTGTAATTGGGCAGGCGTACTGGAGGGCGTGGCCCTATAAACGGGGGATAGCGGACCCGCTCCAGCTATTAAATCGAAGCCACCAACTCTTCGTTTGTCATGGCGCCTAATGGAGTGTAGCACTTTTTTTCCAGTCTGGCCTCTTCATTTGGCCAAAAGCTTTCGTTGTTGCCTATTGGCGGTGGTTAGCCGCAATTGACCCTAATTATGGTGGGCCTGCTGGACAGATTTCGCAAAGGAAAATACCAAATACAAAAATAATAAATCTCAATTCGCACAACTTCCCCGAAATGAGCTTGGTAACTTGTCTTTTATTTTAGTTTTCGGCCAACCGATTGGCTGGCCAAAGTGAGAGCTGCTTACTTTGTAGAGGTCTATATCTTTATCATTATGTCGAAATTTGGCGTAATTATTTTGTTATAGTTATAATTGTGAGCTGGCTTTTTTTTGCTTTTATTTGTCATGATCCCCCTTTGGCCACTCGCATGATCCTTTACGAAAGCAATTTGTCGGTATCTTATCGGCGAATATATACGAGCGGGCCGATAAGGAATGCCAAATCGAAAAATTCCAACCTGTTGCCATTGTTCTGCGCTATTAGAGCAGCAAAGTATTCGGTTATATCATTTCCAGACTTATCTCTGGAGTGCTCGCTAGTTGGAGTGATGGTTACACCTCCCTGACTCTACTGGGCCTATCCACCGACTTTAGTTTCAAGCTCGAGGCCAAGGCTGCAGTTTATCGTACTTACTTGCTGGTGAACTGAACTCGGCTGCCCCCGCGAGTTCACCCTCTCTGGGAAAGAACGAAAACAAACGACGACACCAGTCGGCGAAATGATAACCAAATTGCTGCTAAATTACACTGTTTTGTATGAAGTCAAAAAAAAGGAAAAACTGTAGCGCCGTGTGTGTTTATCGCTCTTGAAAAGTCGCTATCAGCTATCAGCCGGCAACAAAACAAGTACACATTGCATGGCTATCACCACATCACCATAATAAGAACCCGGCTGATAAGCTGAGGGCCAAAAAAAAGCAAAACTTTGCCAATCAAGGCAGGTTTTCGTCGACTCTGACCCTGAATATTTATTAGCGAACGCTCCAGTAGGGTCGATTAATTCGTTCTTGTTGGGTTTCGGTGTTTTTTTCGACGGCCTGCTAATCGATAAAGTCTACGAAAACTGAAATCATAAATTCAGATGTAGGAGCACTTTGTATTACCCCGATTTCCAAGTACTCTCTAATCTTCAATCTGAAGAACAAATTTAAATATTTCTTGAAACTTTCTTATCATTTCTTAGTTTTTGCTTAAAAGAACAAGCTTGGGCTAATCTTGGCCATTTTTTATAAACTTATTGACATTTAAGTTATAAAAAAGGTTATTCATTGAAGCTATTTGGTGGTACTTTGTCAAGAAAGTAGATTTCATTAGGGATTCTAATGGGAATGTTGGTTAGTTTTCAGAGGAATAACATGCATTTTCACTCTTTAAGGGGGCTAGAAGAGTCTAGACATTAGAGTTCAAATTTATTACGTTTTTAAAAATTCGTAAAAATAAACAGCTGCAATATTTAGTACCAATTTGTAAAAATTTGTTTATTATTATTCAAAGAGTATACAACAAAATATGTAAAAAATAATCATTTTCAATGCGAAATTCATATCTTAAGTATAGGAGCAAAGTAAGGTGGTGTCCTGGTTAATATGATTCAGAGTCCTGCGGCTATCATTAAATCGAAGAATAGGCTAATTCCCAATTTTAATGAATTTCGGCTATCTTACAAACTTAAAAACCGAAAGAAAGCTGAGTTTTTCCTTCAAATAGCGAATATTAAACCAAAAAATCTATTTTTTCACTGCTTATTTTACTTTTAAATTAATTATAATTTGTATAATATTTTTAGTAATTTAAATTTTTAGAAAGATATCTTTAGAACTATAGAATTTTAAAATAGAATCTTTTGATTTTCTACGATTTCAATACTATAACACCCCCTTAACACAAAATAAACAGAGAAATCTCGATCACGCGCTCTCTTGGTTGTTTACCGAAAAATACCTCGTATTTATTTGCATTTCATTAGACCGCTGAGATTGTATAATATTAATTAGTACACCTTTCCTCCCTCTCTTTCAGACTTCCAACTGCAAACGCTTCCAGATCAGCTTCCAAGAACTGCAACGTGCCAATCACTGTAGAAGAACCTCAATCATTCCAAACCTAGCACCCTAAGCAACAAAGTACACAAGGTTCTATTCAAAAATCATACATTCTGTGAGGTTGAAAGTGCTTTTTTTTATTTGTTCCAAAATTGTCAAAACTGGACCGATGGGTCCAATAACTGTTTCGTGCTGCGTTCAATAAACTAAACCCCCAAAATATCATCCTAGTAGCTGTCGTTAACCATCCAGTGTTTGTCCTGTCATGGAAGGTACCATGGTCTAGGCCGCAGCTCCAGCAGAGTATCATATACCCATAGCTCCTGATTGATCCCCGGGAACTACATCCAGTCTAGGCCTACTGACCACCAACCACACCCACATCCGGATACGACAGCAACATACGTCGCAGCTGATAAACATGAACCTGAATCAGCACAGTGGCCCTGGACCGCCGTCGGGCGATCAGGTGGACTCCTCATCCTCCTCCGTCTCAGCCTCAGTCTCAGCCCACACCTCCCCCTTTGTCTGGCCCAGCACAGCGGGTATGTGCAGCAGCAGTAGCCCCGCCACCTCATCAGCAGCAGCCCCAGCACTGGGCGGATTAGCTTACAAGGGAGCAGGAGCCGCCACAGCCAACGGAGATGCCATCACGGAACTCCACAACGGAGCAGGTGGGATCACGAACGGCCTCCCGCCGGCGCCTGTTGCGCGGACCATATCGTCGGACCGCCTCGTCACCGGCATCTCGTGCCGGGCGCTGCGGACGGCCGTCTCGGCACTGTACTCCGTCGATGATTTCGTCAAGGAGAAAATTGGCTCGGGATTTTTTTCGGAGGTGTACAAGGTGAGTGTGACTACAGCTTAAGACTCGATACATTTTCCCCATGTCATGCCGAGCTATTCATCGAGTAGTTCCCACAATAGAGCCTCATATTTTGATGGCACTTTCATTTTCGCAACGGCAGCAGTCACAATAGTAACAATGCCAAACCAATACGATTATTTACACAATTTTAATTAAACTTTAAAATTTGAGTAATTACTCAATAGCTGGGGCTCATCATTCATTATAGTCGCCCAGAGCCGCTGAGTAAATTGCAAAACAATGACCCAGACACAGACCCGGCCAGATCCCAGACGCCCAGACCTGGCCGGGAGCTATAAAATTCCCAAAGGCCCGATAGCTCGCGAGCGCATTCGAACTGCAGTGAAACCGTGTGTAAAAATTAATAGCGTTTAGTTTCAGACTCGGCCCAGCTCTTAAGCCGCTTTGTGTTTGGGGGTTTTCGTTTACAGCTCGGAACGGTTGTTGGCCCCACAAATTAATAAGTTGCAACAGATGTGGTGCATATACGATGCGATGCAATGGGATGGGATGGCCCACAGCAAAGACTTTGACATTAACGCTTTCCAATTACGTTGGAATTAGTGACGGTTAGGTGATTACGCAATCGACGGTGGCATTGGAGGTTCAAGTACTCGCCCATCTATCTAGATAGATAGATAGATAGATAGATGGAAAGATAGAAATGGACATGCTCCTACACTCCAACTCCAACTGAAACCCTTTCCGAATGAATTGTCATCTGAATGAACTTTCTCGTAATCATTCAGATATGCCTGAATGAATGAAGAAAACGGTTTCACTTTCGTTTTCATTTTTCAAGTGATATTTACACATTTGTATGGCCATGTGTTTATTGTGTTTGGCCGGCATTATTCGGTTATTTGTTGCCATTATTTTCTTCAGCTTTCCCAGCGGTCCGAGCGGTCCCTTGCTTACAATTATTTCTTCAGTTTCGGTTTAATGAAAGCGCCAAGTCGTTTCGCTTAAATGGAAATCTCTGCAAGGATTCTTCTTCCAGTCCATTTCATAGATTGTCGGCTATAGGAAGTGTATCTTTTTATTCAAATGCCGCAAATGGCATGCAAGTGCGGCGTATCTCATGGATACTCGAGGCCCCGGTGAATGACCGGCCGACCTGTGCGTCTGCTTTTCCACCTTTCCGGGGACTACCTGCTGATTTGCATAACTGCTCGCTATTCCCTATTCACTATTCACTTTCCTTGCCCCGCTGGTGGCTAGAATAAATTGCTGCCGTGCATCCCGAAGATAAACTCCAGGCCAGACCCAAACAACGAACTGTTTATTTGCGTGTGAAGTGCGTTCCCGATCGGCTCCGTTCGATTCGATTGCATTTCCGCATTGTAATGCCCCAGCTGGCAGAACAGAGCCAACCCCTCTCATTCGGTTAAAAAAGTTAATTGAATTGCCAATAAATTCAAATCAATATCTGCCTAATGACACCACCAATTTGTGGGTTCAGCGGCGTCAAGTGCACGCATGGATTTCCATCTTCGATGCCTGCCACGCGTTTGCCCTCAATTTCTTTTCTTTCGTTTCGAAATGAAGAATTTCTTGGAGATTTATTTTTGGCTTCCGAGCTTCCGCGGCTCCCCACTTTGCTTCAATTGCGTGTCAAGGCAGCCGACAAAGATATCAGAGAGCTATGGTAGCTGCCGAGGGGGAGAGATCAGCATTCCAGCTTTGATTAAAACTCTTTCACAATTTCCCATCCATTTCCATCTATTGCGTGCAACGGATGCCAACTGTAAATGATGCGGTTCAGCTGCGAATCGTGGACGTTGGCGTTAACCCCACATCCAAATGGGGTTAATCAGGCGGTAAAAGTTTGATTGGAAAATGGAATTAGTCTTCCCAAAGGCATTGCCTCTAGCTGAGACTCTTTAGCAATTGTTCTATCTATTCAAGAGTATAAGCTACTGTTAAGTTAAAAGCATGTCCATCTTCTACTAATATTTCCTTATTTCACTTCTCTAGACGTAGTTATTATAGCTATAAACGCCATCGAAAAATATGTGCTTTGCGGTGATCTCGTTCTTGTCAGTTTAGAATATTCATTTTCAAAATATTTGAATGATTCTTTTATAGAATACATAGATAAATGCATCTCACCTGGCAAAATGGCACTACACTGGTCGACAAGACGTCTTTTTAGTTATTGTATCATGATCTGGAAAATATGTTTATCCAAGAAGATTGTGTACAAATTTTACACTGATAAGTTTGTTCATTTTATAAATATCAAGATCATCGTCTTTAGAAACAGGCTTTATGACCAGGGTACTTTGACATGGGCATACTAATGAAAGTATTGATCTCCGGAAACATTTATCGAAATGAGTTGAAATTTTAAAAAACATGCAAATATATATGCAGATAAGTATCTAAGATTTTTTTTAAAAATTCTATCTCAGTAATCCCTTAAAACCTTAATGTATAACTGTTTTCCATTTATTACTCCTTAAGTGTTAAAAAATCTATCAGAAATCACAACATAATTCACTTAAGTCGTGTCCGCCAAGCCAACACACAATTTGTTCAGACATAAATCAGGAAAAACTTGGTTTTGGTGTTTAAGTTTTGTTTTCCTTTTTTTAGCCATTTTTTAACCATTTTTTTAATGTTGTTAGTGGGCCAAAGTGGGCCAAAAGCAACGGTGAATGCATAACGCCGCACTCAAGCAGAATGGAAGTAGAGTAGAGTGGAGTGCTTAGTATTTATTTGATAACTACAGTAGGCACCTGCTGTTGGCAGACAAAGGAGATCGCCATGCAAGCTGCAATTTGCTGCACACGGCATTGGATTTATTATGTAAAATGATATGTATTTTGAGACTCGATCTCGAGAGTGCAGAGATGCAGAGGTGCCGAGGTGGTGAGGTGCTGGCCTGGCCCACAAAGCAATTGTTTAGTGGGTGACCCAAGGCTGCCTTCGAGTGAAAGTTCTAATTCGCGAAATTGGGCCACGCGATGGCAATTAGATTAGGGCCCAAGTCTTGGTCTCCGGCTTTTGCATGTCCATGTCCCAAGTGTTCCACTAAACGAGACTCTGGCAAAGTGAATGTTGAGCGAGCGACCGACCATCTCCGTTGGCGGGCATCCTGTTGAGAGTTGCCGCTGATCAGGTTCAGTTTTGTGACCAAAAAGCAACATCCAGACATCGGACATCGGACTTCAGAGACAATCCAATCCGAAGCGCCGCCAAGCTTTGATGAAAGTAAACATTTAAGTAGAACTAACTAAGTTGATACTAGATGGATGGCTTGCAGTTTCTATTGCCGGTTGCCATACAGATTTCTTTTCTTTCTTTTAAGCCTCCATGGTTGGAGCTCTGTAGCTTTGTAGCTTTTTGCTTTGCATTGCAGCCGTGTTGATGTTCACGCGAAATTGATTGCCATAAATTATGCAAAGTTGCATTCTCGTTGGCCGGCTGTCGGGGAATTGGTGCGCGGCGGCATTTAGAAAACAGCAAGAGCCACATCGGCAACTGCTGCAACTGCAACATCGGTCTCCGGGAGTGGTTGGTTTGTTTCTTCTTCCGCTGGCCACTTCGGGCCGGGACGGGCTGGGCCTTCGATTTTGGCCCGGCCACTGCTGTTAGCCAAACAATTTTTCAAATGATTTTGATCTTTTGTTAGTGTTTGTTGCCAGCCCCTCTGTAGGTTGTTGGCCATTCAGTTACAGTTACTTTTGATGTGCATGCAAATGTTTACACAAAAGTAACAACCAACCTCCCAACATCCCAGTATCCTAGTCATTGCCCAATGAACTCTGATGCGTCCTAATTAATTTCTCACAGAGATCACTGATGAAAATATTAAGTTCGCCAGCTCTAAGCCTATAAACCCCATTTGCATAACAAGAGGCATTGTCTTTGGGTCAAAAAAGTAAAAGTCCTCAACGCACTAATCAGCCAAAAACCGAAAAGAAACCCCGATTTCAATAACAAAGGCCTTAAACGAAAACCCAAACAAATTTTTGCACTCCAAAATAAAAATTGCACAAAAACCTTAAAAATAAAAACTCAGTTATGTAATGACCGAAAATACCGCTAAAATATTTACCGTAAACACTTAACAATGAGCCACAAAAATATTTGATTTTAAGCATCTCTGCGAATTGCTTTACGGCTAATTAAGTTATAATACTTAACGATATGGCTGCTCGCTGGGATCGGATCAGTGAGTGGATCGATCGCCCACGATGGCCACTTTTGGAAGTGGCGCTGAGAACGAGTTTCGCCACCGAATGGGATACATAATAAAGGCATGTTAAGGCGCTAATTGATTTGATTTTGAAATATATGCAAATATTTACGATTTATTGCAGTGTGGGCTGTGAGGTACTTATGGCCAGAAATGTCAGAGATTCTAACCCAAATTTGTCAGAAAGATTAGCTTCAAACATCAAACAAATTTGTCAATAATTAATCCAATTGAAAGGTTATTAGTTGGCTTCCCAGCTGGCTCTCAGCTCTCAGGTTTATCCACCTCCGAGGGCTGTCTGAATAATCGAATTCAATTAGTCTCTTCTTGTATAATTTATAAATAATTTCACTGCCCGGTGCATGACTCATGCACCTTATACTTTCATGCATTAGGCAGAGATTTGTGGCTGGTCTTGTGAGGCATTTTCACGCCTGGCCATAAACAATTTGCAAATTATAAATGCAAATATATACGTGTGCCGGTCGGGGCTCCATAAAGTGCATGATAAATAATGAACTTTGAGTAAATGCCAGATGGGCAGCCGACAAACAAGTCCCCCAAGCGCCACAGAAAGTTGTGCGAAAAGCTAAAGAAAACGATGGCAAATCATAAATTCTAATAAGACACGCCGCCACCACAGGTATACAGATCCCACTCTGCCATATGTCATCCGGCAGTGAAATAGTGTTTGGGCCCTAATGCCTCTAACGAGCTGCTGGCAGGCACGGCGATGATTTTCTTATTAGAGCCCATAAAGTGTGGCATTTGTGAG